GTCGAATTTTCAGAATTTGTCTGTCAGTCTGTCGCCAGTTTGTCGATCTGTCGCCCAATCTGTCCGTAGGTCTGTGAGTTTGCCAATCTGTCTGTCTCTCTGTCGTTTCAGGCAAAAGGAAAGGAAAAATCGCTTACATGGGGAATTTTCAGAATTTTTGCCTGCATGTCTGTCAGTTTGTCGGATTATCACAAAAATTTGTCTGTTTGTCGAGCAGATCATCGTTTTTTCGCATTGTCTGTCCGTCAAATAGCCTAATTCCCGAATTATTGATAGATTTTTGCCTCTTTCGTGTCGAGTAACTACAAAAAATTTTTCAGAACCTGGTGTACCTGACGTCAGACACAATCCAACTACAAGATGTATTGCATATCGTGAATTGGGAGAGTCTGCCATGGACACAAGATGTTATTAGAGCACCCACTGCACAACCTGTACACGACACTACTATGGACGGACAAAACACGAAGAAGAATACTCCAGTAGAACTCACCACTCCTATTAACGGATAGTCCACGATCTCCCGCTGCCCTACTGTAACCCAATCCACACCCAATTCGAGCCTTCAATGGCCCTTTAAAACCGCCAAACTGTTCCAATAAGCCAACTGGCTGCCAGTTTACCCAAATCTCCCAAAAAAAACCCTTTCTCTTTGCTAGGCACCGATTGAAGCCGTAAACGTATTCCTTAACCTATGAAATCCCGACCCAATTACCGTACCCCTCCCCCCTTCCTCTGGTTTTGAGGTGGCTGTGATCCGGAATAAACTGTGATTCGAATTTTGAAGCGTGAAGCTACAGACTACAAAATAAAGATTCCGCGCACATAGACTACAAGCTAAAAGTTGCGAGAGACTAGAAGCTGCAAAATTTCGTCCTACTAGAGGCTAGGCTTAAACTACAGCACAAGGCACACCTACACTACAAACTACACATTTGAAATTGGCGGCGTTTGTGCGAAAATTTGACCTCAAACCAGCCGCTTTGGATATACTACAAACTACAATGTCGACGGAGAAACTACAGATTACAGACTGCCAGCCAACTACAGACTACAATGCTATAAGGGCTACAGACCACACAGTTAGCTATAAATTACAAACTACAGATTCCGCGAGGGTACACATTACAAATTACGGTACGACCAACTACAAAGTACGGAATAGTCAGAAGTTGCATTCTTTGGGCCATTCCTTTTACTATTGTTTCGACTAATTGTCCCCCATCCATCATTTCCGCAAAATAATCAATTTTTCAGGAGCAGCAGATTATTTGAAGGGGCTGCCACTCGGCAAAATCCACAAAAAACTGGAGTCACTTCTGTTTTTCTCCGAATTGGCTTTCCAAATTTTGAAGCATTTTTGGAGGATTCGAGGGACAGGCTAGCAGGGATTCTTTGCGGAAAGATGAGCGAGACAGAGAAAGAGAGAGCGAGATAGAGAGAGAGAGAGAAAGTGAAAGAGAGAGAAGGAGAGGGAGAGAGAGTGAGAGAGAGAAAGAGAAAGAGAGAGAGAGAGAGAGAGAGAGAGAGAGAGAGAGAGAGAGAGAGAGAGGGAACGAGAGTGAGAGAGACAGAAAGAGGGGGAGAGAAAGAGACAGAGAGAGAGAAAGAGAGAGAGAGAGTGAGAGAGAGACCGAGAGATAGGGCAGGAAGCAAAAACTGGATCTTTGATACCCTCAATGTAAGACATGTCATTAGGTGTATTGCGTAGTTTCTCTCTCTCTCTCTCGCTCTATCTCTCTCTCTCTCTCTGTTTGATATATCCGGTTGTCAATAATCTACCTCACCCCCCGATAATAGCCCTAGAATGTGGGTGTTTGGGGTGCAAAATGTTTCTCCTCGATGTCCTCGTCCTCCATCATCTCCTCCTCCTCCTCGACATGCTAATCGTTTCCTGCACTCAAATGTCGGCCACCGTATCCCTTTCCAAAGCCACGCCCCCTCTCTTGCGCAGTTCCGCGTGAATACCTCACTACACCTACATACGTAGCCCCAGGGGCTTTTGCTGGAAATGCTGCTTTTGCTAAGTTTTTAAGTTTTTATCGCTAAATTCAATAAAATCCATTAAAAAATACTACTGTAATTTTCATTGAATTTTTACGAATTTTTAAACCCTTAAAAATTTTACAAAAAAAATACAAAATAAAATTTCGGAAAAATGTTTTGATTTTTAATATTCTTAAGTGATTAAAACGCGGTATAAAATATCGTTGAAATTTTCAGGGTTTTCTACCATTGTAGAGGATCTATAGAAAATTTTTTGACAAAAAGTTAAAAAACTCGCAAAATTGCGCAAATAATCTCTGCTAGCCTGCCTTGGGCTTCAAACTGGCCTCCAGTCGATTTATTTTCGCTTTTCCCCCCTGCTTCATCCCCCCATCCATCAAAAGAAACGCACGAATTTCCAAATTCGGGGGCCCACCTTCCAACTCCGGAAGGAGTAGCCGAGCGGAAAGGTTTTTGAGCATTTTTAAACTTATCTTTCCTAGATTTCTAGTTTTCCACAGCTTGCCTGCCTTCCTAGTCCCTTCAAAGCCCCGAAAATTTTATTTTTTTCGGCTGTTAAAACATAAAAATTCACATAAAAATTCGCATAAAAACCGAAAATTCCGCAAAAATAGCTGCTTGACTGCCCTGAAGGTTTAAAAAAATTCGAAAATCACCAGGAGCTAGCTTGCCAGCCAGTTAACCCGCTCGTCAAAAAGCAAAAAGTTTCACACCGGCCGGGGGTCGAACCAGGGGCGTACTGATGGCAGCCTGGAGCGCTAACAATCGGTCACATCGCACTTGAGCCCATTTTTACCTAAATGAGAGCCTAAAAACAAAATCTAGCGCTCTCTGGTGACTTCAGAAGAATTATACAACAAATTTAGCCCTCGATGAGTCAAAAAAAAAAAATCGAAATTTCACGTTTTATTATACGTAAAACTTAAAATTTAACAAAAATTCTCGTTTTTTGATTCTTTTGCCGCTTTAACAAGCTTCACGCTACCTTTAAAATCGCCGGAAATCGGCTGGAGAAGAAAGGGGGGCCATATTTTTCGAGTTGGGGGAAACATAGCAAATCCCTCGTCCGCCTCTTCCTCCTCTACCTACACTACTTTATATGAATGGTTTATTCAACCGGGTAATATAACGTAGGCAAAAAATGATAAACACGTAAAGTGAAAAAAAAAACATGGGTGAAAGACGAGGGACGGGGATAATAGGTTTTTTGCTTAGGAGGGATTATGGGCTAGGGGAAGGGTTTCAAGACTTTTCCTAAAGCGTTTCGCGCTGGTCGGAGGGTTCAAGAGGAGAGGTGGCGGAAGTGAATTCCATAGTTTTATGATGCGTCGTGAAAAGATAGACCTAGGGGTATCTCCTACGCTGTTAAATCTAGTGAGCTGGAACCTGTGGGAACTCCTAGAAGGTCGCGTCGCAAGTTTAAGAAATTTGACTGGATAGCTCTGCTGGAAAATTATTCGATAGCACAGGACGAGGTCATTTTGGTTTCGGCGTGTTTCGAGGGTGGGGATTTCAAAAAATGCTAGCCTCTCTTCATACGGAATTACGGGAAACCCTGGGCAAAGTTTAGAGTAGGCATGAAAGGTAAATCTTTTCTGGACATTTTCGATCTTCTGAATCAGATATTTGCGGGATGGAGACCAAACTTCACTCGCATATTCCAGAATCGGTCTACATAGTGTGCAAAAAGCGCGGATATAAGTACTTCACACGGCAATCCCCCTTCCCCTGCCCGCTCCATCTTCAAAAGGACAGCCCACGAAATGGGCGAGTTCAAGCTCGAGTTCAGCCCCAGCAAAACATGCAAAAAATTCATAAAAATTAAACTTTTCGTGGTTTTCAAAATTTTCAAAGACCGGAGTGTCGAAAAAATTCTAAATTAGGAAAAATTCCCGAGGAAAAAAAACTTTCCCGGGAAAAGTCTGACGAAATTAGCAACTCACTGAATGCTCAGGAAAACGTGCAAAAAACTAAAAATCGCATGTTTGGATTTTCGAAAATTCGAAAAACGGTCGAAAATGACCTTGAAAAATGCCTGAAAATTGCCAAAAAAACTGAATTTTGCTAACAAATCAGTGCAGTAAATAGGGCCAAATTAGCAAACCACAAATCCCGTTTCCGGTCGCATCTTGTGGCTTGATCCTGGCAAAAAGATGGAGGTCCCGGATACGTAATTCTATAAGAAAACCGATAATAAAATTGAATTGAAATATCCCACCTTTTTGCAAGCAGCAAATCTCTCGAGCGTTTTGCTTTTTCTTGCCGATCCGGTGTGAAGAGATGGTCAGCTAAATTCACGCCAAAAAGCCCCCATTTTCTGGGCCGCATTCTAATTTTCGTCCAACAGCTAAACCCAAATTTCCCCAAACATCCTTGAAACGGCCTGCCCCAACTTGAGAAATTTGAATTTTTAAATCATTTAAAAGACCAAACCAATTTGAAAATTTTGAAAAAACGTTGCTTGAGAGAGCGCCTTGAAAGGCGCATGTTTTTCTGGACGCTAGCTAACTTTACTAACTTTACCTAACTATACGTTTGAATATGTATGCGTCAAAAACACACGATTTTAGCAGGATTTCACCAAAAAGCGCTGTAACTTTTTTGAATATGGTTATCGTCAAATTCCAAAAACATATCCGGAATCGCCGCAAAATACTGCGCAAAATTCGCATGGTCCAGACGGGTTCTCTCACATTATCGGGGGCGGGGCAATTTTCTATCTCAAAGTCCGGAAATGTCTACTCCTCCCATGCTAATTTTCTTATTGTTTTTAGTTGCATTTAACTATATTTCAAGTAGAAAAACTATCTAAAAAACCTTGAAAAACTCCAAATTTCGAAATTTTGACGAAAAATCGCGGTATTTGTCTTTTTCTTAACATTTGAAAAGGTTTTACGCTTAGGAATAATTCGTTCCCCTTCCCTCACCCTCCGCTAATGCAAAAGTACCAAAAACCCTTTACAGGTCCCCCCGTCCTCGGCTGATCGTAAATAATGGCATCACAGTGGCATTGTGTGACCATGATGATGATGTTGATTGGGAGCATCTTCTGTGCTCCCTCCTCCTCCTCTTCATCCTCCTCCCTCGAACGTGTTGAATACGTCCTCGTGCCGCGGAGTGCCCTCGTTGATCAGCAACAGCTCGAGTATCCATACATCGCCGAGCGGCTCGCCAAGTTTGTCTATGAAAAAAGTACCTAAAATCTATAAAAAAAGTACGGGCCAAAATGTAATACTAGTGGCGGGAGGCTAGTAGCGTTCTAACTAGTAAATTTGAGCCCGTTTCGTTCAGTAGTTTTCGAGCTCTACGGAAAATCGCGCATTTTTCGGGCATTTTCAACGAGAAATTAGCAGAAAATGAGCCCAAAAAGCCATCGCAAAAGCGCCGCGCGTTTGCCTGACCAGGATAAATTGACGCAAGTGAATTTATTAACCCTTGAATTGTATCGAAAACGAGCAAGAAACATAAAAAAAGCACGTCAATTCCAAGCCGTTCAAGCCAAACCTTTGACAGTAGCTGCATGACCAGAAAAGGATATAGCTAGAAAATTTGAGCCAGCTTCGTTTCGTAGTTTTCGTGTTATATAAAAACTTGCGCCCTTTTTCGGCGCCTTCAACAAGGGTTTGGCAGAAAATAGGCCCAAAAAGCCATAGAAACAGCGCCTTTTCACAACCAGCAGAAGTTGAAGCCGCAAACCGGCCAAATTGCAATCCGAAAAACAGGTGAAATGCCCAAAAAAAACATAGAAACTATAAAAACCAATTCAACTACATTTCAGGCGATTCGAAGTCGATAGAATGCGCCGTGCCCCCTACGATCAACTCACGTTCATGGAAAACATCCAAAAACCAAGGTGGGTGACCAAAGTACACCCAAAACAAATACTTCTCTTCGAAACTACACCATCTTCACTTCAGATTCGGCCGCCGACGCTAAGCTACTAATCTCCTGCCAACGCCAAGGTGAAGCCACACCGGAAACCAAATCAACCATATATCCCAGCGATAAATCGAAGTGTTATTTAATAAGACCACAGAGAAGTTCTAACGTTTATACAGACATTTCTCGTGTTTGGCAATAGGGGCGCGAATTCAATGACAATCAATGGGCACAAAAATGGGAATAAAGTTCACCAAAACACGAACTGTTCAATCAATAAATGACAATGCGAGAATATACACCAGAATGGAAGCGAGCGGGCGATAGATTGATGTTGTTCTAGTCCTCGTACTCGTCCATCTCGACCACTTGTGACGCGTCGAGGGTGCTGAACCCGGGCCGAGGGCGGTTGATCGGCGACTCCCAGACGGCCGATGAAGAGCGGGGCTTGAATCTGAAAACAAGGAATTATTCCCGGAATTGCAAAACATGTAAGGAGAGTAAATAAACGTACTCCTTAACGCCGAAGATTTTGCTGAGGTCGACTTCTTGCGTGGGGCCAAAGTACGTCTTGTAGTCGAAGGCGAGCATCGACTGGCTGCGCACGCAGTTGCGGAGGGCTGAAAATGAAAAATTTCAAAAAGGGATAAAAGTTTACCATTTCCAGTGGCCCATGCGGGGATCTTCTTGCGCGGCTTGTCCTCATCATCCGTCTCGTCGCCACTGTTCAGATCGTCTATGTCTAAAAGAACCCAGTTTCTAAATGAATATAAAACAATGTCTACCATAGTTGTCCTCGGTGAGGCGTTTCTTTTCTTCCTTCGGCTCATCGGGAGTGGCCTCCTTCTTGTTGTCTTGTGTGTGCATTGAGAGTGCCTTCTTCATTGTAGATGGACGACGAGGCGGTGGAGTCTCCAACTAAAAAACCAGGAAATTGCTTTTCAAAAGAAAATCTTACCTCCATGGCCTTGTTTTCTTGCGCTCGCAGCTCCTCCTCATCTTCCTCTACACCCTCATCCTCAGCAACCATTTGTTCTTCCGGCGGCGAGGCGAATGATGGCTGCTCTTCGAGCTTCACCTGCTTGTCCAAATCGAATTGTTCGACCTCATGCTCGTCTTCGTCTTGTTCCATGGGATGATCTTCTTCCGACTCGGCTTCTTGCATGACGACTTCGATGACCGGCTTCTTCTTGTCGGCGGGTGTTTGCTGGATGGGGCCTCGTCTTCTCTGCGGCTCATCTTCATCATCGCTGCTCGTGTCGAGATACTCGGTCCTTGCTGGTTTACGGCGAGGAGAAGAACGCTAAGAACGGGATATGAGAGTCGGATAAAAAGCTTTATACCTTAGCAGAGGTGGCATGCGTGACGTGGTGGATGGGCTCATCATCGCTCTCTTCGGTGAAAAGTGCCTTCTTGAGCGGAACCCGTGGCGACTGCAGCTCCTTGGCCCTTCCCATCATCGGCGTTCCCTTGGCGCGCAGCTTGGCCAGTCTAAAAAGTGAATATAACATGGACTCAACAATCCGCGCCATACCTTTCATCTTCAATTTGCTGCTTTCGTGCCTTGGCGGCTTCTTGTTTCTTCTCATTGTCGAGGCGGATGCGTTCTGAGCGCTCTTGCAGTTGTTCTTGTTTCAGACGGTCGGCTCGCTCGAGATCAGTCTTTTGTTGGGCGGCACGTCCAGCCTAAAAACACAAAAATAAATAAAATCTTGGCAAAATACTTACCGAAACTGGAGTGCGCGGCTGGTTGTGGTTGGTGGGCGTGCCGGTGAACAGATTCTGGCCGAGGCGAGCGAGTGGAGTCCTTGTTGGTGTAGCATTGCGGCCCGGTGTGGCTCGTGTCGGTGTGTTCGTCCTCGTCAGACGCGCACGGGCCATGGAGCGCGTCAGATCACGGATGCCACTGAAAGGAAAGGTATTATAAAGTCAGAAGCATAAAAATACCTGTCCTGGCGCTCCTGGTCGGTGACGCCGAAATGATCGAGCAGGTCGTCGAGGTGGACGATCGGGCGGGCACGACGTCCGACCCGGAATGCTCTTGGGGCGGGGCCTAGCTCTTGTTGGCGCTGCTTCAGTGTGATGAGGCGATCCTTGATGAGTTGATGGAGACGCGGTGGCAGGCCTGCCAGCTTCTCGCCCATTCCCCATCCTTGCTGGTCCATCGCGTCCGTAAGTGCGCAATGGGTGCGCATCTTCTGAAAAAAGTTATGTTGAGAGATTAGGAAACGAAAGAAAAACAACAGAAAACACGCTTTGAAAAGCAAATGCGTGATGAAAGCTGAAAAGCAGTGAAAGAGAAATGCACAAACGCCAGGATTCTAGCTGCCCCTATAGAAATATGCGACGACGAACGACGACGGCCGAATTCAGCTCCAGGGGAAAGCATAGAGAGCTTATGTGCGGGTCAATTCGTCCCTGGTGAGTCCAAAATGATCCAAAAATGAAGTTTAGCGAGCTCGAAAAAGATATCAGATGCGAAAACCCACGAAATAGAGGTGCAAAGCGCGCGAAAAGGGGGCCAAGACATCAAACGGCCTAATTTCACAGCAGCTTCAAAAAGTGAGCCATAAAAGCTAAAGGTCGCCCGACAGACCGGCGAATACCAAAAAGCCCTCGGGTTTGATGAAGACCAGGCTATTCGTTACACAAAAGTGCAAAAACGAGGGAAAATGGCAGAAATAGATATACCTAAGACTCGAAAAGGCGCTTAGCACGTATCGTCAAAAGGGTCTAACCACAAAATGCGTCCAGAAACTTAAAAAAGTGATCATAGAATCATGAACTACTCAAAAAATTTTCCGGCAAATCGATTAAAATGGAAAAGCTGTCTAATCCCTGCAGGGCCAAGCCGTGACAAGGGCCCACAGCGTTTGAAGGAGATTCTTTCGCGCCCAGGGGAAGAGAAAGGACGTGTAGTCGATGCGATGGGGATTCGACGAGGAAAAGCCCGGAAATCGAAAAACAACAGAAATCGAAAATTGACGAAGATCGGCCTTGATGCTGCGTTCCGAGGCAGGACATTTACGGATTTCGTAGCTGTACCGTTGCGTACAAAACGTACACGACGTGAAAAGCGCCGCCGGCGCTTTTGTAATTTTGAATTTGAAAAATTAGTTGAAAAAGTTTTACTTTATAGAATGAACTAATGATAATAATGATAAATGATAATGAACTCAAAAACGTGGTTTTTTAATTTGTCTTTTTCTCTTTTTAGTGCACTTTTTTCCATAATAAAGAATTCTTTGATTCCAGGGCGATGGTGCTGGGCGAATGTCTAATGTATGGGCTCGATTTCGAGGCGCGGTGCCTGGCCAGCGTCAGCGGCGACGAGTCGGGCGTTCGATTCCTCGTCGGCACCCAGAATATCAAGATGGACAACCAGGTACCGTTTTTAATAGTTTCTTTAATAAAATTTAACTGTATTCTCGCGTAAAAACGTTCCAGAAGCTTAAAAAAATTGAAATTTTGGTTGAAAATTACCATTTTTCGCTAACAATCTATATTTTTTGTATTTTTTTATGAAATTTTGTACGGATTTTTCGTTTCGGAAAGTAAAAAATCGTTTAGAAATAATTCCTCGATTTATATTAGCCAAATTGGATCCTTTGAAAAATCCCCCCCCCCGATAACGTAAAAAACCCTAGTTTTTCAGATTTGCGAGCTGACGGTGGATTTGGACGAGAATCGGGTGAACGCGCGATGTTTTGGGCATTCGATTGGCGAAGTGAGGGAGCTGGCCACGTCTCCGGATGATCCACAAATATTCGCCACGGCATCGTCGGATTGTCGGTTTTTTTGGTTCTTTGGCATTGTCGGGGGGGGGGGGGACAACTTTTTCTAAGAATTCAATTTTTTTAATAAAATGTATTTAAACCGTTTTATACTATTTCTAAACGTCAAAACGTTACAAATTTGACGAAAAAGGTTAAAAGACGAATGTTCCGTCAAACATTCCCAATTTTCGAGAAAAAAAAATCAGAATTTTTTAGATTTTTCATAGTTTTCCACTTGGATTATAGTAAAATTTTAATAAAAACGCTATTAAAATACTTACTCTACGGTTTTTTGGGTCTATACATAAATTCCTCCCGCCCCCCGATAATGCAAAAGAGCCTCCATTTTCAGTCCGGCACCCAAAAGCGAAACACCGGCTGAACATCTACAGCTACAGCGAATACAAGCCGACGCTCGAAGAGAAAGCGAGTCTCGAGTGTGACCATCCGATTATCGGGTAAATCGCTCGTTTTCGGCGTTTTTATTTTATTTTTTAGGTTAGAGTGGAGTGTAGCGAGCAGCTCTCTTTCCTGCATCGCCGGCAATCAATTGACACTCTATAATGTGGCCGGCGATGGATTGAAGGTATCGTCACTAATGGTTCTGGTTCCTTAGCGGGGGGTTTTTTCCAAAAAATACCGTACGGCTTTAGAAGGAAAAATGGACCTATCTATCGCATTTTTGACGTTTTGAGACTGAAAACTATCTAAAAAATTATGAAAATTGTGAAAAATATAGGCTTTGTGGCAAAGATGTATGAAAAAGACCCAAAAATGTCCAAATTTTCAGATTTTGAAAAATTTAGGATAGTTTTAGAATTTGCTAGCAACCCGAAAACGAGTAAAACCGTGGAAGCGGACGCGTTGCGTGTCGCGGGCGCGGAAAAATCAGGAAATTCACGCCAAGATGATTCTTTAAACGCGTTACGGCTGCGTTGCGTGTCCGTCTAGCTCCAACACGCGACTCGTTCATCGAACTTCGCTGAAAAATCCAGGCTTTAGGAGCAATTCTCGCACCATCAGCCCGGCAAGCTGCACACATTCCGGCGAAGTCCCCATTCCGATGGACAACTGATAGCACTGGCCGTTGATCGAGATTTGATCGTTGTCGATTCGAGGACTAACGAGTCGGTTTTTTTTTGGAAAAATAACTTGATTTTTCTCTTTTCCAGGCCGACCACCCGTATCTGCGAGGCGCACGTCTTCCGCTGTCTGGCCGTCGATTTCAACCCAAACCTCCCCAATCTCCTCGCCACAGGTTAGAATTTAGTAGCGAAATCGATTCCTATCTTTTTCCAGGCGGTGACGAGGGCGCGCTTCGTATCTGGGACCTTCGACAGCCCAAGGCCGCCATATTCTGCACGCGCCCCCATTCACACTGGGTCACCCAGGTCGGGTTTGGGGCCTGGATCTTGTTCATTATCGGGGGGTCAAAAATTTGCAGGCAAATTGCTTTTCCGGTTTTGTAGTAAAAAGCCCTATATTTTAAGTTAAAAATCGGCAAAAAAACCTTAGAAAAAGCTTGGAAATTCTCAATTTTCATAAATAAAAATTGCTCATTTTTAGTAGAAAATTGGAGATTTTGTAACTTTTTATGAAGTTCTTTTGATTAGAAATTTTACATACCACTGAACGTAAAGAAATCGATAAAAATCGCTACTTTTTGTTCGAAAATTCGACATTTTGGTTTTTTTTTGCGTTTAGAAACCTTTAAAATGTATTTTTTTCGAAAATATAGTTTTAAACCCTTTTTTTAGGTTCGCTACCATCAAGTACACGACCAGCTGCTCCTCACCGGCTCCTCAGATGCGTGTGTCGTGCTCAATTGTGCCCAGTCCGTCTCTTCGGATGCACAAATCGATGCGAGTGCCGAGAGGGATGATGATGGAGGTGCAGATTTTCGGATTCTAACCAAATTTACAACGTTTTTGTCCTTAGAAATCGTAGTTTAATCCTTTAATCTAATTAAGAAATTTTTTCGTATTTTAACCCCCCGATAATGCAAAAGCACCCAATTTTTCAAATTTTAGAGCCGCTGGCGAAACTGACGGACGGGGAGCTGGATCGGATCAACGAGCACGAGGACACCGTGTCGGCCGTCGAATGGTCTAGCGCGGTACGGGAACGGAAAAACGTTATCTTTTTCAGAATTTCCTGCTGATTCTGAATCTGGCTTCGAAATTCTTGAAATTATTAGATTTCAAGGAATACAAAATTTTTAGATCTAAAAATGGCTGGTTTTGTCGATTTTGCTCGGAAAATTGGCGGTAACTTTTGAAAACCACGGATTTGGCAAAGACATTTTAAGCTTGATCTAAATCTTGACAAGATAGGCGGTTAAAAACGCTCAAAAAATCTGGGTACTGGTCTGATAGCGGGGGTAGCTAATTTCTATTTTCCACTTAGACATACCTGTCAAAAATAACCTAGTTGTTTGTGTATTTTTTTTATTGTTTTCGAATCGCGTTTATGGCTAGGAAATTGCAAAAAATGCTATAGATTTTCAAATTCGATAAATTTGAGACTTTTGGTGATTTTCATCAAATTTTATTCAAAAAATCAGAATTTTCAGAATTTTTGTGTGCTTTTTTACATCCAAAAACGTGTAAAATTGGATAGAAATCGATTTTTGTTATTGTTACAAGGTTTTCGGAAAAAATTGCCCCCCCCCCCCCGCTAGCAGCACAGCACCAAAATTTCTATATTGTTTTGCAGGATCCGTGGATCTACGCGTCGTTGAGCTACGACGGCCGGGTCGTCATCAACCGGGTGGCCCGTCAGCATAAATATGCCCTCATGCAGCTCTGATTTTTTCATTTTCTGCATTTTATGGATTTTTTTGCGTTTTCTCTAAATTCCCAACTTTTTGAGCATAACTTCTAATTTCTGAATTTTTAGAGCATAAGTTAATTTCTAAATTTCCTTTTTTCCTAATTTTTTTTCAAGTTTTTTTGCTGTGATTCTGTGCAATTTCCCCCCGACATTGTGATATATTTCCTCTTTTTTTTTTCTCCCTCCTTTTCTGTGCATCCCCAATGAATTTGACGCGTGATAATAAAGTTTTTATATGCTAAAAAAGCTTTTAAAGTTTCTGTTGGACCACAAAAACAAATATTTCCATGATTTTGGCTTGAAAACGTACCCAAAATGCTAAGAAACGGCTTCGAGAAGGGGCTCATCTTGTCCAGAATTTTGGGCTGAATCTGGATCTGCTTTTAGCATTCAAAAAAGCGTCATTTTTGAAAAGTTGTCCTGGATTTTTTACGCGAAAACTGTCTAATTTAGGCAATTTACCTTAAATTTCGCTTTAACTTTGAAAAAACGCTGATTTCGGCCTTTTTCCGAATTTTAGAAAAGGAAAGCCTATTTTCTGGTGTTTTTAATTTTTGAAAATGATTTGATCTAGCCATTTATTACCCTAACAAGCCTTGTAATCGTCTTTTAACTTGGCAAAAACGTCTTTTTAACTTGCGAAAACGATATGATTTTTTATTTCTGTTAGCAGCTTTGGAATCAGCGGAAAATTCTGCACAAGATTGGCTTACTAAAACCGCGAAATCGCAGCAATATAATCTTGTTGTTTTACAGAAACTTGCCGTGCCTCTGCGCGAGCCGACAATTCGCAACAATCTGTGCTGAATGCGGCCGGGTTGGTGGCCATACAAGATCTCATTGCAAGATGCGCTCAAGAAGGGTGCCGTTGTTGTTGCAGGTATTGTTTATGGTCGATTTGCGCTTTTTGCAAGAAGCAAAAGCCCTTATATCGCGGATTAAGATTGTCAGTTCTAAATAATTTCTACACCGTTAGAAAGCTGGCGATTCGATTCGTTCGCATTATCGGGTGACGAAATTTTCCTAGGCTCGTATTTTTCTGATATAAATATAGTAAGTGTTTCCAAAGTTTTTACTATTCATAGACCTAAAGACTTGCAAATTTTCGCGAAGAAATAGCAAAATATCGGTTTTTCGACAAAAATTTCACGTAAAAACATTTAAGAAACTTTGCCAATTTTTTAAAAATGTTTTTCTACTTAAATTAAAGTAGCATTTTACGAAAAAACGCTATTAAAACACTCATGAATTTTATAGGCACGTCAACGCAGCCCAAAAAGACGCAAATTTTTCCCAAAATGTGCTCCAAAACTGGGCGTTTACTTTCCAAAACATAAATCTGAAGCTGCGGAAAGCTTCGTGATTTTCGTGGCTTTCAAGCGCTATTAAAATTGTTGAGCTTCGAGCCATCTAGGTCGAAATCTATGGGGGTTTTCGGCTAAAATAAAATCTTTTTTTCAGGCGTGTTCATCGGTGCGGCCGTCGTCAACAGCGTTTTCCAACCCATGAAGGTATTTTTCGTCTAAAACGATAATTTCGTTTTTTTTTAGGGTTACGAGGAAGAGTTGAGCGCGAAAAAGGCGCTTCTCCTCGAGAAATATCGACAACGACACGAGATGCGGATATGCAATGGATATGTGCCCATGATTGACGCCGAGAGATGAGCCAGAAACGAAGGAGAAAAGCGCTGATTTCTTCATTTTCCCCCGTTTTCGTTGTATTTGTATGATTGATCGAGTTGTAAACCTATTCCCGATTGCTGTATAGTTATCGTTTTGTAGTAATAGAGCCGTTAGAAGTGATAATAACCTTTTTTCACTGAAATTTGGTGACCGGATATAAACACGCATTTCTTTTCTTTTTTAGGCTTTTCTGATCGGCGGTTTTTTGTGAAGTATGCAGCAGAAAACTAAAAAATGCCGCACTCGTGGGTGAACCCCGTCAAAAAGCACGTTTGGCGCGCGTTTACAACAAGTTCAGCGGATGCTAAAATTAGCGGTACCGCCGAAAATTGATAATTTTAGGAAAGTTTGGTTTACCAGACGTTTTTGCGACTGTTTGTACACGTGAACAGGGAAAAACAAGCTTTGAAAAGCGCCGCAACTCGAAATGGCTTGAAAATTTTCTGGGAAAGCTAAAAAAAGGGTCTTCCAAAGTTTGCCGTTTACGGAAGGGGTGTGCGGAAATGCCGGTGGGCACATCGTTTCGTCGCACAAAAAAGGGTTTTTTATGTTATATTGTCATCGAAACGTCGCAAAGTGTTCGATTTTAGGTTTCGCAGTACCTTTTTCTAGAGTTGTTATTCGAAATCGAAACTTTTGTAGGCTCCCGCAGCAAAAACTTTGTAAAATTCAAAATTTTTCTAAAGTAGAATTCCGCTATTTCGTCTTCATTTTTGATTCTGTGAGATCATTTCCTACATTTTGAGTCCTTAAACTATAAGTTTTCATGCTAGAATCACAAAGAACGGCCTGCTTGCCTTGTTCCGCGCGCGGCCATTTCTCGGAACCACTTCCCCCTGCCATGGTGTGCCGTTCTTTGTGATTCTAGCATGAAAACTTATAGTTTAAGGACTCAAAATGTAGGAAATGATCTGACAGAATCAAAAATGAAGACGAAATAGCGGAATTCTACTTTAGAAAAAAGTTATGAATTTTACAAAGTTTTCGCTGCGGGAGCCTACAAAAGTTTCGACCATTTCGACCCGGGTCGAATAATAACTCTACCTTTTTCGTATTGGAAGTCTATTACAAGCCTTTTTTCTTTAGAATTGATTTTGAAACTCGCAAAAGTAGCAATTTTTGGGCGACAAAAGGGCATTATTTTTATAGATATCTTTGTGTTCATCGAAAGCTATCTAATCTCTCTGGTTTCAACTCGGCGGCGCCCTCTCTATTTGGCCTTTCGAGCGTTTTTTCATATCTTCGGCCACATCCCTTATAAGGTAGTAAGCTTACTTTTGCCGCTGCCAGCATCTATTTTTGTTCTCATTCTCCTTGCTCTGCTTGATTTCACCATGTTCTTGCTTTCCATTTGTTGCTGCTTTTTTTTTTGAAAAACCGTCACATCAATATTCCTTTTTCAGGTAACTCGACGTCTCGATGGATCGTGATCAATTCAAGAAAAAGCTGCTCACTCTACAGGGCAAGATGGGGGACATTGGCATCGTCGAGGAGAGCAACAAGAAAGGAGATGAGGATGATGATGGAGAGAAGGAGGTCCACAAATCAACGCTCAACATCTGCAATCTTCCCGTCGTTCTCTTGTGGGAGATTCTACAGCCGATGCATGTAAAAGGCCTCCTCTCGATTGCTCGTACTCATCAGAATATCCTCCACGCGACAAAACATCTGAAGAACAAGCACTTCTACAATGTGAAATGTGTGGCTTCCATTGAACGGAATTCTCCTCCATACATGCAAAGTCCGGAAACACTGGAGATTCTTCTTCATGGGGCACGCGTCGAGCAACTCCACTTCTATACGGATGCCCGTCCATTCGACGTTCAGGGACTCAAATTGTTTAATCTCTATTTCTATGGCCGAGAACAAGACGAAAAGGTGGCAATTCTCATCGAAAAGCTGAAACCTGATATGGTCAATCTGGCGAGGTATGAAAGCTGCACGATGACTCCGAGATTGTGCCAAGCTCTCTCCAAGACTCGATGTCTCTATCTTGGCGATGTTGGAATGGAGCTGCTCGATTTCATACTCCAATGGAAAGGCGAGTACTTGGACTGTACCATGGATATATCCAATCCAGAGAAATCGTCTCGCTTCTTTGATGTTATCAGACAACTTCTCGAGGAACGGAAGAATGGAGTGCCAGCCCCGCATCGCGGACGTGTTTCCAAACCCGAGAACGGCTTCATCAAAATGTCCTTGGTCCCGAGGATCCATTGACATCGTGTGGCCTCGATAATCCATCCATCATTAGCCAAATCCGTCCCTCCTTTCTGTACTGCTACCCTTCCTAATCCCGGGTTTTTGCTCCCAATTTCTGGTGTTCTTTTGAGTGCTTCAATATTCTAAGCACTGTTTCATATCTCATGCTCTCGAATGCGTTTTCCCTTTTTTGTTCACATTGCATGAATAAAGTTTCAGATTTCAGGTACTTGACGCAACAATGGCAGGCAGAACCGCGGAAATGGGACAAATGAAACGGCAAAAGAATAGAATGCGCTAAAAGGCCATGTTTTTTCGGTTTCTTGTTACAGTTTTTTAGGAAATTCACGATGGACGGCGACGGCGGCGATCTTCCGACGAAGGGCGTTCTGCTGTTGTGGGATAGCGGTTAGTGATCGGACCAATTACTTCTCCGTCTTTCTTTTTTAGATTCCCCGCTTCGACGTGCAAACGACAAGCAGAATAAGCCGATGATGCAGCGGAGGCGAATCAATGAAATTCTACTTCTTTTGAATTGTCCTACGGATCCCCCCCCCCTTGCGAAATTCAAAATTCGAAAAAAGCCAGGAAAATGATTGGACTTTGATAGTTTTTCATTTAGATGGCCACATATCTGCTTTCTCGCTAACAGCAACTTTTATTGTTGTCTCTCTCCTTTCAAATTCAATCATTGAACTGTATTTTTGCTTTCCATTTCTTGCTGCTTTTTACAAAATGCGTCAAATCAACGTTCCTTTTTCAGGTAAACAGACAACTCGACGTTTTGATGGATCAGGCCCAATTTGCGAGGGAGCTGCGTGCTCTACAGGATGATGGGGTGAAGGACATTGGCATCGTTGAAGAGGGCAACAAGAAAGGAGATGACGATGATGATGGAGAGAAGAAAGTCTACAAAGCGACGCCCAACATCTGCGAGCTTGCTCGTGAAATGTTGTGGGAAATCATGGAATCGCTCAACGGTGACGACGTCCTCTCAATGGCTCGTACTCATCAGAATATCCTCCACGCGACAAAACATCTGAAGAACAAGCACTTCTACAATGTGAAATGTGTGGCTTCCATTGAACGGAATTCTCCTCCATACATGCAAAGCCCGGAAGCACTGGAGATTCTTCTTCATGGGGCACGCGTCGATCAACTCCACTTCTATACGGATGCCCGTCCATTCGACGTTCAGGGACTCAAATTGTCTAATCTCTATTTGTCTGGCCCAAAACAAGACGACAAGGCTGCGATTGTCATCGAAAAGCTGAAGCCTGGTTTGGTCGATCTGGTGAGGTATGGAAGCGGCACGATGACACCGAGGTTGTGCCAGGCTCTCTCCACCATCCCGTATCTTCCTCTCGGCGATGTTGGAATGGAACTGCTCGATTTCATGCCCCAATGGAAATTTGACTATTTGACCTGCATCCTGAATATCTCAGGAAATTACGAGAAGTCGTCTCGCTTGTTTGATGTCATCAGACAACTCCTCGATGTAAGGAAGGATGGAGGACTCCTCCTTCTTCAACTACATATCCACTTCAAACCCCCGTTGCTCCCTGATCAGCTTCATGCAAATGTCCTTGGCCCGGATTATCCCTTGGTGTTCAACGGCTGGAGCTACGGCTGTCGCTTCAACAATCAACAACAACAACAAATCCATATCCGAATCACACTTTTCGAAATTTCCGGCGTTCTTTTGATTGCTCCACTATTTTAATCCTCGTTTCATTTCTCATGCTCTCTGAATGCCCCGTTTCCCTTATTTTAATCAAATTGGCTCAAATACAATGTCAAGTGTCAGGCTCTGGGCACGAAATGGCAGCTCGAGGTGCGGAAATGGGCCGATGTAATGGAAAAAGAATGAGATGCGCTAAAAGGTCATGTTTGTTTAAAGTTTCTTGTTATTCTTTTTTAGGAAAATCGAGACGGACGGCGACGACGATGATGTTGCGGAAGACATGGGCTGCTGCTGTTGGATAGCGGTTCGTGATCGGACCCTCTACTTCTCCGTCTTGCTTTTTTAGATTCCCCCGGTGACGGATAATCGACAAGAGGAGGGATCAGCCGCGGCCGGTTCTAAAAAGATTCAAGCAGCAGTCGGGAGGCAATGCCGGTGAAAGGTTATAGTATAGCTTAACCGAATAACGTGCTGAGATTTTTTTCGCAATTTTTTCCGATCAAAGTCTTGGACGAAGATCCGAAGGTCTTTGGCTGCAATATTTTGGCGGTTTTCTGGTGAAAAATTATATTTTTAGGAGAGATCAAATGAATGCTCTTTTTCAGGTAAGAACATCGCCAGTCGACACTTCAATGGCGCCGGCCGCAAAGATGACAAAACAAGTCGAGAAGCGAGGCAATTTCATGGATGACGGTTAGTGATCGAACCTTGCCACTTCGCCGCCAATCTTTTTAGATACTTCCCGTCTCATTGGGCAGCCGGCATCGACAACAAGAAGATGACGAAGCAGAACCTGTCCGAGACGCCGGCCCAGAAGATACACGAAATGGCCAAGTTTTATCCAATTTTCTCGTTTTATTCTTATTTAGCACGTCATCTACGCCCAGCAACAGTTTCACAAAGACGCGCCAATTGTCTTAGATTATTCGTTGTATATCTATTTCTTTTCTTTTCTCTGCGTATTTGTATTCCTCTCTGCCATCTCGTTTCCTTTCTTTTCTCTCCTCCTCTTTTGTCGAAAGTTTTAGAGATAATAAAGTACTTTCAAGTCAAAGAATCGTTTCTGAAAATGCATCTCACTGTTCCTGAGGCA